AAATTTTTTTTCCAAAAAAAAAAAACTAAATAAAAAAAAAAAAAAAAAAAAAAAAAAACCACTGTGCATCCCTGCTCCTGGTTTTACTCCCTTTTAAACCCAGCTGGCCTGCATAGTGTGCATGCAACTTCAACTGTGATAGGGCTCATGTAAACTACATATATTAATTCTCAAGAGGGTTCTGTTCCATCACTGAGAGCAAGACTTAATTTTTATGTAAGGCATGCAAGAATCATTCCTGACCTGTAAGAGTAATATGACCTTGTCCTGCAGGTTTTTGTGTTAAGCTGAAGAAAAAGTTAAAATGGGCACATTAAGCATTGTAGAGCAACTCAACCCAAAGTGTAGTGCTGCTGTCTGGGTCTATGGGGGTATGAGCCAATACCATATCGGGCTGTTTGGGTTTTCTGGGACTCCTCTGAGGTGAGCTTTCCCTAGCTGAGTTCTGGCACTGGTCTTGCTGTGCTTTAATATGAACAGCTCTGTCACTTGGGTCTGCTCGAGTCTCCATGTGTTTTCATAGAGAATCCAGCAGGCTGCATGTAACATAATAGCTGCTAAGTGGACCTCTCACTTGCACAGTTCCAAAGAACATTATAGGGAATCTGTCACAAAGCAAAACACTTATATGTTAAAGCTGGACTCCAGACATATACACAATTTATAATGCATATTAAATGCAGCTTATCTTAATCTATCTTGATATTGGCCTCTTTTTAAACACCTGTGCAGCAGCATTCAGATTGGGAGGTATGGTCAGTACACTGAGCCAATCAGGGCCTGCTACGTGTACATGTGCTGACAAGGAATATAATGGCAGAAGGAATTGAAGGAGAGCTCATCAGTCTGCTCCTTCACTGTCCAATTGCAGGCAGGAGGTGGCCCCACTGTATTGCTGAACTGCAGTATAGAAAAGTGAGGTGACCAATCTAGATATGCTGTCTAAAGACTGGATTAACACAATTAAAAATCCTTTGTACTGTGAAAGGGTCAGTATAGCTATCTGTGCCCCCACTGTGGAGATTCACCCTCTTTATTTGTCTGGAGACCATTGCCTCAGGTACAGAAAGTCATAGGATATTTTACATTTTTGAGTTACCACTGGAACAGGAGGGAAGCAATAATTTTCCAATGGGGGAAACCTGCCCTGGTGAATGTTGTCCATAGCTTTCAAGATATCTCCTCATACTTCCTGCTGTGCACAGGAAGTGAAGGAAAATCTCCAAGACAGGACACCGACAGCAAAAAACTAACTAGGGATGAGCTCTGGTACAAACCGAACCCAGTCTGAACCTGACCTTATCTAAACAGAGAAGATACATGCGCTTCCCGCCAAATCAGCTGCAGGTTGCGGCAATAGTCGCTTCGCAGCTGACCTTAAACAAAGGGGCAGCGGATGCCTATGCTGACGTCTTTTATCTTATATGGCCATTATAGGTAGACTTTATTCACCTTTGTATAGCCATGTCAGTGATGTCACTGCACCCCGCCCCTCTGCTTACTTCAAGCTGTGGGTGGGGAATTGGGCATCATGGAAGGAACTTCTGGATTCCATCTGATCCTGAGCTCATCCCTAGTCCTAAGCAAAGCCCTTATCTATCCTAAACAAAACAAAAAAGTTTTGGCCTCACATACATTTAAACCTCTGCCCCGATTCCTAGATTGCATGCTAGTTCCAGGCCATGGAGGTCATGGCAAAGCTTAATATGTTCCATACTAGTATGTGTCATCTGAGGCTTCTTGCTGGTGAAAAGTTTTCTTCAACAACTTATCCGTGGTTCAGTCCACTGAAATTCAAAATGGAGCAAACCATACTGGGTGAAATTGATTTTAGAAAGTGCTTAGGTACATTGGAATTATCTTTATAAAGGACCGTGTAAATATTTCTAGCTTTTGTCGCTTTTATCAGTTTGGATTTCCAACTTCAGATGATTGATATTGCCACTATGGAATGAGAGAAATAGTTTATAGCACAACAAGGTGAATGGTTCCAAAGACATGTTTAGGCAGACACTGGAAAGGGAACAGTACTTTTCCCCACCTATTCATGGTGAACAGTACCACTTATTGCAAAGATTTATTGGAAAAGTGTTATATTTGTACTCTTTAGTGATGTTTGTGCCTCATGCCCCTTTTGTGCATTGCCTAGCTGGCCTGTGTGATGTAACGTCTGTCTGGAAATATAGTGGAAGTGTGTCTTCCAGCATCCTTTAGAAAACCTGGTGATCAAGCTGTGGCTGAAGTACACAGGAGACTCAGGTTACCCAACATGAGCACAGAGGAGGAACACTCCATTTAACTCCGTTCTACTCCTGAGTATACTGTGTTTTATTAACCGCTGCGTTTAATGAAAGCTTAGAGGAAACCCATACTGAAACAATACGTAGGCTGCCACTGCTGAATTCCATTATTAAAAATAATGGCTGCCATAGGCTTGCATGCTGCATTCTGGCATTTCTGTGGCAAGTACCTACAGATTCTTGTAGCAGGAATGCCAGGTGTCCCTGTCCAGATATGGCCACTGTACCCATTCGGGTAAATGACAGGGTGACAGTGGCCGCATCTGGGATCGATGATTGTCCCTGGACATTGGACACATCTATCCTCTGTCAAGTGACCATTATCTATCCTGAACCGCATGTAATTGTACCATGTACATGCGGACTGCTGCTGAGAGATGCAGCTGCTGTCACACTGTCACTAACTTCAATGGGGACACCTGGGATTCCTGCGGCAAGAATCTGCAGGTTCTTGCCGCAGGAATCCCAGAATGTGGCATGCTTCCCTGTGCAAAAAAAACCTTAGGCACTGACAACAAGCATACAGATCATGAGTTTTGATTTTCCTCTTAACTTCACTGGCTGCATGCTTGCTCTTTGTCAATGACTCGAAGACAGTCAGTCACAGTCGGCAATGGCAGCCTATGTACAAGATGCAATGGCAGCCTATGTACAAGATGGAGCAAACCAGTGAACAGAGACTTGGTTTCTAGGCGAAAACCCTTGAATAAACTATATTCTTGTCCTCAGACGTCAGTACAATTTCAGATCTGTCCCTAGTAATTGTAAGTATTTGTAAATGACGCATATTTGGTAGCTAACCATTAAATCAGGATTTAGATCTTGTCTTCTATCAAATAGATTAGCATACCAGATGGTGCTTGTGACAACATTGTAAATGGGTTGGGAGCATATAGTGGTATTTTGTTTGAGACGTTCATAGTAATGCTTTTAGGTTTACAATTAGACAAATATCTAATGTCTGTTTTTGTTTGCCCCAAGTGACTGCACACGCTACAGGATTTAAGACAAATTAGCAATGTCACATGACTTCCTGTGTCAGATATGGTCCCTACACAGTAAGCACGTTATGAAATGATGTCACATCACGTCCCATGTTTTACCAGGCTCTAATTTGACACTGCCTTCTATTTTCACATTGTATGGTATAAATGACAAATGAAAGCGATGTCACACATCCGATGTGGCCCGATTCCGCTCACCACACGCTACATGCATGTACAAATGCTGTGCAGAGGAGTAAATAAGGTTTGTAGATGTATAGAGATTCATAGGTTATGTTTAAACCTTTTCTTTTTTTTTCATGGCTTTAAAATAGCGATCGTATTATTAATGTGTCTTGCAGGTTGTTTGAAGGAAATAGAAACAAATGACCATGCCCATACATTCTTACACTCTGAATCTGCACCAGATAACACATGAATTGCAATGCACACTGGCTCTTGGATTTGGTGTAAAGATGTAGTTAAGTTCTTGAAGCATTTTGTGTACAATACTTTTATAACTTATTTATCTTTGTTTTGTTTGCGTGCTCTTTTTGTTTAATTATATTACATTTTTTATGTCCTGCTTGTCACGAGTACATATACTACAACAAAGACGACGTAACTATACACCAGTCAAATAAAATCTAAAAATAATCTTTTTGTGGTGACTTGACTGTGTTCAGTGTGTGTGTGTGTGTGTGTATGTGTATACAGTGGTACCTCGGTTCACAAACTTAATTCGTTCCACGATTCTGGTTGCGAACCAAATTAAACCGCGATCTCGACTAGAGGAAGCCACGACCACGTGCCAGAGCGGGGAAGATGGCCGCGGTCGTGTTCGTCACCCGATGCGGAGTTCACGAACGGAAACAACATTTTGCCGAACTTCCTGCTCGCAAACCAAATTGTTTGCTAACAGAAGCGTTGGTGAACCGAGGTACCACTGTAGTTCAGCTTTATATAATAGTAGATGGTTAGCGCACCTCAAGGGTTGTTAGGACGGTGTTCTAAATCTGACTTTAGTTAGAAAAAAAAAAAAATCACAGACTTGACCTTGCATTAGGACTACCCCCTCCCAGAGAGGTGCCCCCCATACACCTTGCGATTATCATTCGATTTCCTATGATAATCGGCCAGTTGATGGGAAGTGAACGATCACAATGACTGTAGAAATGGCAGAATTTCATCTTTTGGGCAGGCTAGAAAACGTTTTGACTCTCTCTGTCGATCAACGAAATTCGGCCAGTTAGTATTGCTGATGAACGATTATCGAAATCTACAGTGGTCTGTGCATGATGGGCTAATTGAACGAGGGAGCGATGCCAGGACAAAAAAAACAAATTGAAGGATAATTGTAAGGTGTATGGGCAGCTTAAATAAGATATACTCGCCTGATCCTCGGCCCAGAAGTGGTGAGCATTCACCTCTTTCCCTCTCCGCTCCACCTATGAAATATCCCTCTGTGTCCTCAGAGGGATGTGATGACATCAGCGGTCCTTAGACCACCGGGGACCAGTCTAGCAACCCAGAGGGAGCCGGAGCAATGAGGATCAGGTATGCAATACAGCTTTTTTTATTACAGTTATTTATACAGCGCTGACAATTTACGCAGCATGTTACATAGCTGCACATTCACATCGGTCCCTGCCCTCAAGGAGCTTCCAATCTAACGTCCCTACCTCACATACATACAGATGAGAGCCAATCAACCTTCCAGCATGCCTTTGGAATGTGGGAGGAAACCCATGCAAACATCTTGCGGATGGTGACCTGGCCGGGATTCAAACCAGAGACCCCCACTAACCACTAGGGTCTTACTTTTCAAACTGCTGCTAGCGTGGTCTCTACTTCCCGGTTCCTCCTACCTGGCAGGATGGACCGATCGTTGGATGCGCAGCTCCAGCCCCTCACAAATGAACTCTGCTATAAGAACACGGCTTACCTAGCCCCAGTGTAGTCTGCTTTCTCCCTCCCTCGCAGAACACTGAGCTCAGCCACTGATGGGAGAGAAAGAATGCTGCGATTGTCTGTTGGCACTGCCGTTGCTACCTGACCATGTTTTGTTACACTCTAAATAGGGGCGTAACATGAAACCTGGTCAAAAACGTGCACCTAGCCGGTATTATTTCCTTAAACCAGTAAGAGTTGGATGGGCCCCTCTTTTGTGCCACAGCTGGTTATGCTGACCACACACTACAGTATATAACAAGGTTGGGTAAACTCTGGCCCTTCAGCTTTGGTGAAACTATAAATCACATCATACATCTGTCACTGTGAGTCATGCTTGTGGCTGTGAGAATCTTGCAATGCATCACGGGATTTGAAGTTCCACAACAGCTGGAGGGCCGGCGTTTCCCCACCACTGCTATACAATCTCCTTTAGATTTAGAAAAACTAATATGAAGACTAAACCCAAACTCTCCGTTCCTTGTGTATCCATTTATTGTAGGGGTAGGCAGCCTTGGCACTCCAGCTGTGTTACAACTACAAATCCATTCATGCCTTTGGGAGTCGTGGCTGTCAGAGTCTTGTAGTTACACAACAGCTGGATTGCCAAGGTAGTCTAGCCCTGGTGTAGGCCCTTGTTCTGCATAGGTTTGGTAAATCTAAGGGCGATTGTACAATAGATTGAATTGACAATACACCAAGGGCTGGAACACAGGGAACTTGTACTATTAGGAATCGGGGAGGGGGGTCTGAATACAATAGCCTGCAGGGGAGATCCTCCATTAATGCTGTTCAGTGTGGATGAGGGAATTGATTGCTTCTCTCATTTGCCCCCTGAGCTGTGTGCGTCTACACTCATGCTAATCTGATCTATCCTCCCCTGTATATGAAGCCGCCATCTTTTTTTAGGAGGAATTCCTGGCCTCGTGGTGTCTTCATTTTTAATGACATTACCAACCTTTCCCTTCTTCCTGACATACATTCACATTCCACTCTCCATGAATTATACCCACAGTGTGTCAGCTGATCCACATTGGCTGCGATTGCTAACCTGCTTCTGAAAATGCTAGATGCCTGGCTATCCCACCATATTTCCTGACCAGGAGAAAGCACAGACAGCACGGTCAGAGCTGAACTGCGTATTGCTCCAGGTCCTTGTCTCCTAGGACTGAAGCCAGTGGACCAGCAGCCAGGATTTTTATCAGGAGAGGTCAGCAATAGCACCCTCCATATTCTGTGAGCACATTTCTATTGTAAATTGAACATTCTGATCGAATTATTTTATAAGAAAACAACCAACAGCTGTTTAAAGCTGCCCAGCATAGCTAGAACCCTGTCAACGCTGAGATCCCTGTGTAGGCGGAACTGTCTGTCTCTGAGCGGAAGTCGACGTTCCCGGGAAGAAGTGTGCAGACAACGCACCGTTCCCCCTGTCACACGTTGCTATGTCCTCCTTGTTGTTCGGTGTCCGCTGTGTGGCGGTGCTGGGGCCGCAGTACACCCAGGTGAGGGGGGCAAAGCGATGGCTCCGGCCTTATCTCATGATGCTGGAGAGGAAGAAGCGGCTGGAGCAGCCTCCAAAGCCGGTGCCTAGGTGAGAGCTGCCCGCCACCTGCATAGGGGACACGGGGTACCCAGCATACGGCTACAGAGGCCCCAACAGTAGTAGGCCAGGTACTACAGGGCAATACAACTGGGGGGCTCAGTACATGGACGTCCACCAGGCCTGGAGGGGTCACATAATTCACAAGGTCATTGAACAGCATCCTGTACAGAGATTCACTTCCCTTTTTACACAAAACCCGGCAGATATCAAGCTTAATTCGGTCCACATTCACACATAGGCGTACTGGGGATGCGTGTTGGTGCATGTTTTCTTTTAGCATTTGCTGCGCGTCCCCATTGATTTCAATGGGTTCCTGTATGTGCAACAAGTGCAGAAAGGGTCATGTAGAAAAATCGCACTGGATCACATACATGAAGCCTTGTTCTGGTGCATGCTGCATGCATTATTTTTTCAGATCGCACTGGAACAGAGGGCATTGCTGTACCTTGCATTCCAGTGCGGCGATCGCACTGCGGGCGGGGGCCTTGTCTGCGGTATCTTTGACCTAAATTGCACCGACGCCCCAGAACACGGCTTGGCTTCATGTGAATGTGATCCAGTGCGTGAACTGCACTGGGACGCACTGGATATGGTGTGACTGGGCCTTAATGTGCTTTTTACTGGCTGCCATTAACTAGTAATGGCAACGCTAACGCGTTTGCCAGTTTCTGACTGTTTTGGGAACGTGCATCAAAGTTTGACATGTTTTCAAAATGTTTAGGTGTGATTGGGACACCAATTCTGAGGTTTATTTGTTGCACTGACTGAGGGTTATTATTATGGCCACTGACACCAATGCTGGGGGTTATTATTATGGCCACTGACACCAATGCTGGGGGTTATTATTATGGCCAGTGACACCAATGCTGGGGGTTATTATTATGGCCACTGACACCAATGCTGGGGGTTATTATTCTGGCCACTGACACCAATGCTGGGGGTTATTATTCTGGCCACTGACACCAATGCTGGGGATTATTATTCTGGCCACTGACACCAATGCTGGTGGTTATTATTCTGGCCACTGACACCAATGCAGGGGATTATTATTCTGGCCACTGACACCAATGCTAGGGGTTATTATTCTGGCCACTGACACCAATGCGGGAGGGTTATTATTCTGGCCACTGACACCAATGTTGGGGGTTATTATTATTATGGCCACTGACACCAATGCAGGGGGTTGTTATTCTGGCCACTGACACCAATGCTGGGGGTTATTATTCGGGCCACTGACACCAATGCTGGGGATTATTATTCTGGCCACTGACACCAATGCTGGGGATTATTATTCTGGCCACTGACACCAATGCTGGGGATTATTATTCTGGCCACTGACACCAATGCTGGGGGTTATTATTCTGGCCACTGACACCAATGCTGGGGGTTATTATTCTGGCCACTGACACCAATGCTGGGGGTTATTACTGTGGTCACTGACACCAATGTGGGAGGGTTATTATTCTGGCCACTGACACCAATGCTGGGGCTTATTACTGTGGTCACTGACACCAATGCTGGGGGTTATTACTGTGGCCACTGACGCCAATGCTGGGCGTTACTATTGTGGCCACTGACACCAGTGCTGGGGGTTATTATTATTGCCACTGCCATTGCAAATACTGCCACTGACACCAATAGGGCTATTTTTTTTTTTTTTTACTTCCAATGAATTTTCTCAAGTGAAATTCTACTGGTGTATGGCCAGCTAAAGCCAAGGTTTGAGATATAAAATATGTCTATAAGTCAGATTAGGAGTTGGTGACTCTTCATTAGTGCATTTAAGATGCTAGTCAATGAGAAAAGAACAATCAATGTGAGTGTATTCATTCTATATTTGCCTGCCTCTTGTATCTCCAAAGGTACCAGCAGCCACACTTTGACTATCATGCAGAAATTGTGGCTTTTTCCAAACGTCTAAATGAAACCTTCTCCACCGATCTTCTAAAAACTGCATTTGTGAACCAATCCTATGTGGTAAAAGAAGAGCGTGAACGTCGTGAGCTTGGCTTAGACAAAGAAACAGCAACCTTGAATCTACAAGACAACAGAGAGCTTGCACAAAATGGTTTGGACTTCACCGTTTCTTATCTTTCAAGTGCCTTACAGCAGGCCTTCCCAAATATACCTGATGTTGGAGTGGAAGCTTTAGTTGACTACTTCACCAGCCAGCAGGTTTTGTGTCATATAGCTACAAATCTTGGTTTTGAGGACCTAACATTGAGTTCTGAATGTCCTTTGTCTCCGGAGACCCTACAAAGAACCTTCTATGGAGTCGTTGGAGCCCTGCTGCAAAGCTCCGATGCTGATAAAGCCGGGATATTTCTCCAGGTATGTCACTTTTTGGGTTTTCAATGCAATCTTTGTCTTTGAAATGTGAATGTCTGTTAATGGTTTGCTCCTTATTTTTTAGGATTTCCTCATTCCTGAACTGATTGGCAAGGATCTGTTTGATCTGTGGTCTGTTAAAGATCCTATGTCTTTGTTGGTGCAACAACTGTCACAGCGAAATATACCACCTCCTGAACCCAGGCTTACAAGGCAATCTGGAGCCAGCACTGTGTTGCCTGTGTATTTTGTGGGTCTCTATTGGTTAGTATTTTTGTATCCATTGTATTGTTTAATACTGCCTTCAGGTTCAATGTGCATGGCGTTAGTACACAGTTCAACAGTGTTATTGTCTGGTGCATTTGTCCGTCCGAAGACCAGTTGTAGAGGAACACTCTGGAGATGTATGGGTCTAAAACATATGTAGATCTTCAGTCAACTTATTAAAAACTCCAGGTGCTCAAGGGTTTCTGGAGTACTTAAAGAAAAACTCCAGGATATTTATTATTAACCTTGTGGTGGGGGTTACCCCTGCACTGCAAGGGTTAACTGCTTGTTTTTGTCTAGGCACTCCAAGCCGGCATGTTCTTAGACCAACCTCTCTCCCCCTCCTCTGCATTGTTCTAAGGTCCAGTAAGTCATCCCGTCCTATACACAGTGTATAGATGTGAGGACGCTGAGGAATTGGTCGGCTCGGAGTTTCGGGTGAGTAAAACTTTGTTATTTTAGCACCTAGACAAAAAGAAGCACATAATCCTTTCAATGCAGGGGTAGCCCCACCACAAGAAAAGGTTTTCATTAATATGTTGGTTGGTACATGTACGTTTTTGAAGACCTTTTCAAGTTGCTGCACATGTTTGTAATGGTGGAACATTCCCTTTTCATCTAGTGTGATTTAGGGCTGCAACAACTAATCGACTAAGTCGATTATAATCGATGATTGAGAAAAGTTATCAACGTTTTCAATCATCGATTAATCGACTTTCGATTAGTTGGCCCTGTTAATGGCTTCACACGCGCCGCACCTCCTCCCTGCCTCATGCTCGCCGATGCGAGACCCGCCTGCCCGCTCGCATCCACGCTCCACATGCCGCACCTCCTCCCCGCCTCACGCTCACCGCCCACAACCACGATCGGCACAGGGACGCGGGGAGAAGAAGTAAGGAGATCAGGTGTGGGTGGACGACAGCCACGGACAGACAGGCCCAATCTCAGAAGTTACTGGAAGACTGCTCAGGTAAGCCTGCACTTTCCCACACATGGTGCTCTATAATGTATTGCTGGCATAGTGGGATTTGTATTCCTCTATAGCTGACGGTACATTGCTCTGTATATTATAGAGCGTAATGTAACATCAGCTATAGAGGAATACATATCCCAGCAATACATTATGCACTGTATGTATAATATATTGCTGGGATTTGTTGTATTATGCATTGCGCTGTTTAATATATCATTGCTGGGATTTGTTTTACTCCTCTATAGCTGGTGATATTCTGCATTGTGCTGTATAATGTACTATTGCTGGGATTTGTAGTCCTCTGTAGCCGGTGCCATTTTGCATTGATTGCTGTATAATTTTACACTTTTTTTTTTTTTTTACTTCCACCCCTCCATCTTGCTCCTGTGATGGACTGCAATCTCACTACAAATTAGTAGTCCATCACTGGAGCCATTTTTAAAAATCCTGATTAATCGAACTTAATAATCGGCTATCTAATCGATTTTGAAAATAATCGTTAGCTGCAGCTCTAAATGTGATATGTCCAAAGAGGGGGAAAGGTTTTTACAGGACTATGTGGTTGACAAATACAGAAGAACCCTGCTGTATTCTGGTGATATTTCAGGACTGAAAGCAGGAAGTGCACAGCTCACCCCTATCATGCGTCCCCGCAATCCACATTCGGTGTACGGATGATTCTCTTCTGGAGTACTAGGCTCAAAAACTGTGGAACCAGCACACGATGATCTTCCAAAGAAATTCAAACTTTATTCCACATGCATCTGTACACAACCACTGATATTTCAGGACTGTCTAGTAGTGCAGCTCTGCTATGATGGCCCTTGGCAACACGGACATGATAAAGTTTTATCACAAAACGTTGCTCAAGTCATTTAATTTTGGATTTTTTTCTGTGTCAATCAGACCACCAATCATATTAGAGAAAAGAAAGAAATAGAGGTGATGCAGATAGTAACCAATCAGGTTTCCTTTTATGATTAGAAATAAACCTAATGCTGGTCTTTCATATATCCCATTAAAGTAGATCTGAAGCCAAAAATATTTATTTTTGTTTTAAGTAGAGTTGGGAGTGGTTATCAACCGCGGAAGGTTTTATTTGGCCATTTGTGCTCCATTAGGGAGATTCAACCTTCACTTTCTGTCCTTTAGTGACAACAGGAAGTGAGAAGAAATCTCTCCAAAGTGACAGGAAACCTGAACAAATGTCCCCATTGAAAGATTTCACCTCTACGCCTGTTCTGGTGACAATGTTAGTGGCCACAAGACAAATGGAGAGGGGGAATCTCCCTTATAGACACACAGACAGCAGTAAAAACCTGATGGGTTCTAAACGTTTTCTACTGAAAAATATATTTTTTGTTTTAGATTTAGTTTAAAGTGGCTCTGTCCCCAAAGGGTCATTTATGAAAGGTGGTTAGCCCTGTGAAAGAAGCCCACCTATACTTAGCTTTCTGGTGGCCCATGTGTTTAAACATTACTGTGTCGCTGCACTCCAGCTGCTGTAGCTAATAGATTCTTCTGGGTGGGGGAAATAGCTGTCTCCCTAACCCTGCCACCTGCAGTGCTTGCTCATGTCAGCTTGTATGTCCTGTGGTGATGCAAGAGCTGGTAGGAGGAATCACTGCGTGCGACAGAGGATCAGATAATTACACATCCAGAAGTGTGTAATTGGCTGTCCAGCAGCAGGGGGTCCTCTCAGCATCCAGAAGAGAGACTGCCATGATGACATCAGCATGATGGGACTGGCCACTGCAGGCAGATCTGCAGCACTGGATTTCCGGTCACTTGGAAACTGCTTCGGCGAGGGACATGGGCGGCAGATTTGTGTGAGTACAAGATTGCTTCAGAATGGGTGGGAAGGACATAACATTTTGCCTGGAGGTGGACTTTGAAGGATGATGTAAACAGTGCCTCGTGTGTAATGTCTTTTTCAGTATATGCACTTCTAGATTTTTGCTAGACACTGATGTCTGACCACAGAATAGAGGAAGATACGTGTAGACTTTTATATAATTTAAATGTATGACATCACGGTGAACATTCGTTAAACAGCACAGGCTCTACCCGTGTGTTAACATCTGTCCGTTTTCCCTTCTGTTCCCCAGCAATAAACAATTGATTGCAGAAGCACCAGGAGAGACGGTTTTTGCTGCAGAAGAGGAGGCAGCACGGGTGGCATTAAGGAAGATGTTTGGATTTGTAGAAAACCAGCGTCCTTGGGATTACTCTCCAAGCAGACAAGGGACTGGAGATAACACCGCATTAAACTCTGTGTGTTAGTTGCAGCTTCACATGAAGATGTATGGCTGAGCACTTATTATACAAGAACAGACTTTGTGTAATGGCCAGAGGATCATCACTGTGTTGGCAGCTATGGAGATCCATCTCATTAATTGTGCATACAATGAGTCTTTATTGCCACTTACTTTCCACACTGGTCATGGATTTCAATGATGGCAAAGGAACATTAAACAGTCAATCATGATTCTTTAATTCATCTTGTACCTTTCAATGTAAAATGTGTATTTGTTATAGTATGTTTGATTCTGAAATATAAGTACACCTGTCTTTCCCAGTGTGTGTTTTGTGTTACTGAGAACAGAAATGGATTGGGAAATAGTTGGAAAAAGCTTACTGTAGTATTGACTGAAGAGTTATTCTGTGTAGAACTTTGGAAAATTCCGCATTCTCATATTTCTCTCTCATTTCCAAATCAACATTGCCTAATATATTCTGTTCATTTGACATGACCATCTAGTATTCACTGCATGCCATGTGATCTTCCTATTGCTACCAATGTGATCTGAAGTTTAACGAAGAAAGCCAAGAAACTCCTTTTAACATACAACCCCAATTCCCCAAAAAGTTGGGACGTTGTGTAAAATCTACATAAACATAGAATTGCAAATCTCATAAACTCACATTTTATTGACAATAGAAAACATATTAAATGTTAAACTGAGAGAATGTACCAATTTAAGAAAAAATGTAGGTCATTTTGGAATTGATGGCAGCAACACATCTCCAAAAAGTTGGAACAGGCAACAAAAAGCTGGCAAAGTAAGTGGCACTAACTGGGAAGAGCTGGAAGAACATTTTGCAGCTAATTAGGTTAAATGGCAACAGGTCAGTAACATGATTGGGTATATAAAGAGCATCTTAGAGAGTCAGAGTGTCTTAAAAGTAAAGACTGGCAGAGGTTCACCATTCTGTGAAAAGATGCATCTAAAAATTGTTGAACAATTTCAGAATAAAGCCATACACCTATAGATTATCAGCAGATTACCTATGGTCAGATGGCAAAAGTGCAACAGATTCCTCCATCTACACTAAACTGTGTGTATGGAGGAATCTCCCACTGGGCCAAGCTTCAGTATCTTGCTGGTCGGTCCCGCTGGCTCTCAAAAATACCTAAACAATGCCGGCATCCAATCAGATTGTTCAGGTGTTTTATTTTCAGCAAGATACTGAAGCTTGGCCCAGTGGGAGATTCCTCTATCCACACATTATAGCGTAGATGGAATAATCTGTTGCACCTTTTCCATCTGACCATAGAAAATCTATGGGTGTATGGCCAGTTCTATGTTCCTTAACATAAAATTGCAAAGACTTGAAATATATTATCATTAAAGGGGAGAGGGACCTTCCGGCTTGTTATCAGTGCTCAATTCAAAAGCTTGCATCTCTGATGGTATGGGGGTGCATTAGTGTGTATGGAATGGGCAGCCTGCACATCTGGAAAGGCACCATCAATGCTGAAATATATATCCAGGTTTTAGAGCAGCATATGCTCCCATCCAGATGACGTCTTTTTCAGGGAAGGCCTTGTATATTTCAGCAGGACAATGCTAAACCACATATTGCATCTATGACAAGAGCATGGCTTTACACTGAGTGGCCAGTTTATTATGACCACCTGACGTTTGTAGGCAAATTAGCTATAATTTTGCGCTGAAGTTGCTAGAGGGCCAGACCATTATAAATAGGGAAGCAGGTTGTTTACCATGACAGTAGAAGTGATTTGTTTCTGAAGATACGGGTAAACAACGCAATTAAACAGCCTTTGAACGTGGGAAACAAGCTGACTCAGCTGAACGCGTTTTCAGGGAGTTTCCCCTTCCTCAGAGCGCGTTCAGCTGAGTCAGCTTGTTTCTGCTGGTCTAGCAGCATATTTGGATTGTTTTCTCTGACTGCTAGGAATCTGCATGTATCCTGAGATTTATGTCCAACACGCTTTTTATCCACTTCTTTTGTGAGTACCATTTATCACTTTTAATCTTTCTAAACAAATAAAAGAATTATTTGCACCAGGAAAGGCGCCGGTGTTTCTTTTTTATGTTTTACACAGCGTAATCCCTCATCTGTAACGGGGCGGCCTTCCTGGAACACAAGATTCAATTTGTGGCTGAAGGAGGTTCCTATCTGGCGCTGGTAATGCTTTTTGTGGAATTAGCCTTTGTGAATAACCCTGTTAATAATTTTCTACACATCAGAGCACTGTGCATTAGTGTTTCAAGTTAGTGAAGTGTTAATTATGTCCACTAGAGGTGGCACGCTGCAAAAGAAAAAAATGTGAGGAAATAGTAAATTGATCAAATTCTCAGACAGCACATCAGTTTTCCATAAGCTTTCTCTGTGACCTCCTGTATTCATTTCCCTTGCACTGATGCACCCGGATAAGTTAGTGAGTAATCAGAAGAGCAAAAGTATTTCTTCATTCATTGAAAAAGCAGGGAAGATAACAGTCATGAGAAGATACCAGACAAGCTGAAGACACTTTACAAAGATGACAATGATCCATATGTGTGAACATTATGATCTCTCATCAATAATGTTATTGATCTCCAAGGATGGAGAGCTGGACTTGAGAAGGAGAGTTCTGACATCTGATCTGTCCTCCTTAGTGTGAACCTGGAAGGGCTCTGCTATATGCACTTCCGGGTTCACTGCTGTCAGGTCCCGGGCGGCTGCCACAGAGAAAGCATCAGGTACAGTGCAGGGGAAATGTTAAAAAGACCAAAATAATAATAGCAAGCAATAATAATGCCCTCAGAATATTTTATGATTACATAATTGTTAGAGCTCCTGCACAATATTACTCCATTACCTCGATACTTCTTAAAACTGAATTTTTTTTTTGCAGAACAACAAATCTCAGATGTCTTAATAGTTTTTAAGATGAGGAGACACTGAGATTTTACAGGCTCAGGAAGATTGTATTATGCCAGGGTAATAAATCTAGACTACTGGGGTGAATCATAGGTGAAAACTTTGTGAAATAGACCCTCTAAGACAGCTGAATGAGTTTTCCTTACTGCATAGCCTGCAGAATGGGATTTGTGACTAGTAACGCGATGCCGCAGGTACCTTCTAGGGGGGTGTCTGACGTCTATATGACTGAAAATGTAACAAGGTCAATGTGAGCAGCAACCTTTCCAATTCTCAATGATACAGTACTTGATCTGTGTTATCTTCAGATCTATACATATGTTTAATTTGCCTCAACAGTCTCGTATCGGGACCCCCTCCAACCCCTGGACCCCATAGCAGCCATGGGGACTGCTATGGCTATTATTATGCCACTGATATCTGCCATCCTCTGCACAGTAGTGCACTCACTAGTAGAGGGATGGGCCACACTAGGAGCTATTCAGGCCCTGTTGCAAGTACAGTACATGTGTTACTGAGAGGAGAGAGCAGAGTTAATGACTTGTAAGTGCATTGCTGCTCCTTCATTGTCCAATCATCGGACTGCAGACAGGGAGGTGACATGATGATACCCCCTAACTGTAAGAGAAAGCGCTATCATACTCCTGGTTGTGCTGTCTGGTTGAGGTGTATGAATGGACAGAAATATGTATTTCTTGGTAGACTGATAGAGATAAGACAGGCATATACAGTATGCTCTAAGGCCTTGGTTCTCAACTGGTGGGTCATGACCCAAAAATGTGTCGCGACCCCATGTACTTGATCTGCACTTCTGCACAAATGCACTTGTAAAATTGATATTACTTGTATATCTGATCACACAGACTTCTGCTGCTGCTTGACCTGACTGGAGTAGTGGTGCGAGGTTTCACATTATTCACTTCTAAAATTGAGATAATTTAGTGTAGGACGGAGCTGTGCAGGGCCTGCATATATCATACAGAACATTTGTGTACACACAGCCAACTGTCTAGCAATCATTATAGAACTAAATAGATTCACTTTGGCACATATAGGAATCTCTAACCTAATTTGGGCTTTGCTGTATTGGTTTTCATTGCCTGAAAATTTTATTTTTTTTGTGCTTGTTTTCTGTTTCTGGTTTGTTTTCGTAGAAAAAATATAGTGTGTTCACAGTGAGCCTATATTCTGAATTATTATTGCAGTATGTATACTAAAATGATTTTCGATGTGACTTATTTTACAGTTTTGTCTCCATTTTTTAGTTCAATCTGAGTTTTATTAAAGTTTCAAAACAAACAAATACAAAGGGTATTAACAAGAAATAATGTCAGTAACAAGAAACATTCAAAGAGAAAAAGGAACAAAGGCATGAAAAGCAACAACAGGAACACAGAAAATTGCGGCTTCCAAGGTACAGCAGCAAAGAGATAACACATAAGATCACAAGCTCTACACAACTTCAGTAACAGATCAGTAGATCAATAGAATCATGTGCTCCATTTATTGTTATTATTTTAAACACAAAGAATTAGATATTGGCTATGAGAGGGTGCTCTAAGGCTGGGTTCACACCTGAGTGTATTTTTTCAGCTCGTTTATTTTGCGTTTTTTAGCACGTTTTTCCGTTTTACTGGCGGTATGATTTTTTGGGTGTTTTTTCCTTATTTTCTCTATTTTAAAAAAAAAAAGTTTTTTTCACTTTCAAACTTCCCGCCGGCTGCGCCCCCCTGCGACGCGGCCGCTCGCAAGGGACGGAACCCGGAAGTCGGCAGCTGCCGGAGGACACAGCTGGGATCGCGGACAAGGAAAGACCAGTATGCTGTATTCCTGAGTGTGGCTCGGGGTTACCGCTTTGTTAACCCCGATCCACACTCGGGAATACCAATGGAAACACGCGGAAAAACGCCCCAAATAAGCTCCTGTACTTCTTTGGGTGTAGGACGTTTTTCATCGCGTTCCTACGCGCTGAAATACACCCAGGTGGGAACCATGCCCATAGGAAAGTATGGGATTTCACTTGCTGGGCGTTTTACAGCACGTCGATCAGCGCTGTAAAACGCCCAGGTGTGAACCAGGCCTAAAGGGATCATCTTGAAGTGTAACAGCTTTGTTGAGAAAAAAAGCAATACCCTCTAGGTTAACTATATACTGTACATTGCAAAGATTGTAGCAAACCTTGTTACGGTTTCATACCTTTCTATGTTGTGAAAGAATTGCTGTTTGTTTCACCATGTCCTCTCAGACAGGAGGAACAGTCTGTATTATAACCACATGACCACATGACCAAATCTCAGTGTTCTAATGAGGAAAGATGCAGTGTTTCTGTATCCTCTTAGAAGACGACATGTCTTAGTCCCCGTTCACACCTAGGCTTTTTGTTGTTGAAAGCTTCGAGCAGCCAAACACTCAAAGAGAAGGAATCCCATTAACAACGGTCAGGTGTGAACAGGGGCCATAGAAAACAATGGTATTTGACTTGACACCCAGTGCAGGCTTTTTGGAAAAGCAATGAGCCAATCACACATACAGGTAATGAGATTTCTGAGGATATACCATATGGAACAATTTTTTTTGTAGCAATAATATATTTTATTTAAAAAAAAAAAAAAGTGGAATGTTCCGTTAAAGGCACACTTCAGTTCAAATTGATAATAAACCTGAAGATACATACAAGGAGCAAAGCCTTCTTCTACTACCATTCAGTTTTTTTATCCAGACATTGCTGTACCACACTGGTCCACCACACTCTCTATTGTTAGTAATTTGGTGATCCTGGAACATACCTGCTGGAGATACTTGAACAGCCGCCTTCCTGCCTCTTACACACACAATCCTGATTAATAATAATGCCTCTCACAGCCACTAATCAGAATGAGACTTGTCTTGGAAGTCTGAACGTGATTGGTGATACAGAGGAGGTTCCACAGCCCAGGCTGCAGGAAGTACATTCCTACTGACCCTGTATGGAGCTTTGTGTGTTTATTCTGCAAAATGCACATAACTCAGATTAAAGTATAACATTCTGACTTTAGCACAGTTGTAGCTCAGTGAAGCATTGCAATTCTTGAAGTAGCAGCTGCTCATGTAATACTATTACAACCCAATCATATTAACATTAGACTATTTACATCAACCAGATCACTTTTACGGTTATATCTTAAAACAAAGGAATTTAATGAGACTAAACATTCCCGTTCATTTTTACTTATACTCAATCATTTGCAAATATGGCACCAAGATGAATTATTATCCACAGGGGCAGAATAACCTAGCCCCGCCACTGCGGCTGGCTCCCAAGTTGTGGTAACCTGTCATTATAACCATCATGCTTGTAACGTTTGGAGGTTCCACAGAGGAAACCAAACAAGCCAGCCACTATCTGGCTAACAGAGGTGACTACTTCCAACAGTCCCACAAGAGCCAGAGACACATATACTATGATGTGAATAAGCTTCTGAGAATCCTCATCAACCTCTAGGTTCAGATCAAAGTCAGGAATATTTTTCTGTGAGATTCCATAGACAGTCACATTTCCACCATTTGTTTGGGGTAAACAAGTACTATTCACATACCAGACTAATTCAGGCTTTGGAAGTCGCTGTGAAGACAACAAAAGTTGTTAGAATTAAGTAAACAGAAATGATTAAGTTGTTAGCTATGACTTGTTTCTCCGCTCACATCCCCGTATATACCTGCATAGTACAAGGTAAGGGAACCTTTCCTAAAAGAAACACGAACACTGTCCTTGGTGATTATTTTATCTAAAATGCAGCTTGTCATATTGACCTCTGACTTCAATAATCCAGTACAAGTATGTAGATATGTTTGACTTACTCGTCTGCTTACTTGTTCCAGATCAGTGACTCAGAAAGTATTCAATCCAATGGGGGTTAATAAACTAGTATTTTTACAAAGATGACAATGACTGCCTTTATATTAAACTTATTTTATGTGAATGAAGCAGAGCAGATATAATGAAGTGTTGCCCTTGTGTGATAAATATGATCACATGTTTAGGAATAAAGGCAGGGGAGACACTGGTCTGTTTAAATGTCTGCCCAACACCATACAGGAGACATGTAGATCAGGACTGGACAAGTCCCAGCAGCCAGGTCACCAATGTTCCTTAAACATTACAGCTGGTGCCTAACTTTTGCCGATTTCTCTAGTTGTTGTCAATAGAGCTGGCTCCTTAAAAAGTCCTACTGGCTCCTGGATTGGACAGACTGGTTTCTGAATTCCATATTAATTTCTCCAACCCCGGATGTAAACATTTTCCCTCACTTCCTTACCTGTTACAACCATACAAGAAATGAGGAGAACGACTGTCACTAGGACAGGAAGTTCTCGTTAGAGCGATTTCCCATAATTTCCTGTCCCAGAGGAAGTGAGCAGATGTCTCCCCAATCTTCCCCGCCCTGTCCTTAAAGAAATAAAACATTGTGCCTGGAGATGGGCTTGTTCAAATTATTGCTTTATAATTTGTGCCTTACATCCCTTATGCTGCAATATGCGGGGGTCACTGTTATGATTATTTTTGAAAGACACAATTATAATTTAGATTAATTCAAGACTATATATAAAAATAAAAAAATGTGTGCTCCACTATTCACACAGTTGTGACACATTGAGTGAAATGGGTTTAGGAAGCCACAGATAGGGTGTAACTGTACCTGAAGTTCCTCAGGGTGTAATCACAGTGTTCCAAGGTGTTGCTTCCTTTTTCACATATCAGAGGTCCTTTAGTAATAGCGAATATGGCTATAAGAGTGCAGTAGATGCCACCAATTATACTGAGAACACATAGAAGAGAGGAGGACAGCATCTGCAGGACACACAGACAGATGTTATGACAGTTTATATAGAAGATGTATAGACCATGATATGTCTGATTATTGTTATATTAGCTAAAGTAGCGGTGGGGGGGCACATATAGAGGTTTTATATCCAATTCCCAATGATACAGCCACTCACAATACTTTCATGTTTAATAAAATCTACTACCTTGAAATGCAGGAGGCTGGCAATGGGAACTTGTGACCCATCATATAATAACCTAAACCTTGGGTGATAAGGACAGCAGGTGTTGGCCAGTGCGTTAGGATATCTTACCACATTTTTTCCCAAAGTGTAATGTATATATTAATATTATTTTGATTCTTGTACTGAACATATCAATGAAGATTGGGGGATTTTTAAAATAACAACCTAATAGTAGACAGTTTGGACACGCTCTAATGATCCTTCAATCCAGCCCTGGAACCTTCTTTCCCAATGTTCCCCTCTTGCTCTGGAATCCGAGCTACTGGCTGGCCTCTGCATAGCAGAACTTTTTTTCCCTCTGTGTCTCACTCTCTTTATGTGCTTGTGTCCCTTTTCTATTATAAAATTATTATTATGTACTTCCTATAGATACATCATTTGCAATGTCACCTATGCAGCATGTTTTATTTTTTTTCCTTAATTCACAAAAGAAAAAAAATGAATTTGAGTAAAGTAATAACCTAACGGGTCCCCAAAACCTTCATCTTTGATAACTTAATTTAGCTAATAAATACTTTTTCTAAAAAAGTAATCAACATTTGAAATTTACATTGTTGGCTGAATAGAAGAGTATTTCATTTTTGAACTCTAATCTGTCCATACCCAGCAGTGGATACATTTAGGCTGTTTCATGAGGCCATCACATTCAATAATCCAGTTGTAAACCACCCAAAATATGATACTTAAAGTGACACTAAACTCAGGAGTCATAAACGAAAAATGCATTCTAGTACCTTCACTATTAAGTTAATACCTTTTCCTGCCTTAAATATAATTAAAGTGAAACTAAACTGAGGAGTTACATTTTAAAAATACATTCAAGTACCTGAACTATTAACAAAAATGTATCTTATTTGTGTATCACTCGGCTGTATATCCTCAAATCATGTCTGAATTGGTGCGGACACTGTCCTTCCTTCTGGAGGGGGGCTACTCTTGTTCCCCATGGTCCCCGTGTGTTGTAAAGTAGTCACCGCTCCAAGCTCACTCACGTGATGGACTATAATAGACTATAATCTCACTGCAAATGAGGAAACTAAATGTGAGCTTGTAGTCCATCACAGGAGTGAGCTTGGAGTGGTGACTACTTTACAACACGCACAGGGACCATGGGCAACAAAAGTAGCCCCCCTCCAGAAGGAAGGACAGTGACAGCACCAATTCAGAGATGATTTGAGGATCTACAGCCGAGTGATACACAAATAAGATACATTGTTGTAAATAGGATACATTTAATGTTTAACTCCGGAGTTTATGTCACTTTAAAACACATTTACTGAGGGATCAAGTCTCAAGTTCAGAGATTTTCCAGTCTGTGGGGAAGACTCTACGGTTATATCTCATATTCTCAAAGCCTGAGGGGAGTGTTTGCTTTATATTCTTGTTTCTGCGATTTTTTTAATATGATGGAATAAAGATTAAAATGTTTCTCCTACCTGAAATGTGCTGATCATCACACAAAAAAATATATTTCCCAGAGAAAGCAACCTGCAATCAACATGACCATGTAAAACCTAAAGGGGTGTATTTATAACAAAAAATTCTATAACCATTCATTCTGTGCAAATGTTTAAAAAGAAAATTCTTAGTGTTTTCCTTGCAGTTCGAATGTACCATATGTAAAATACCGCATTATGGCCACCAGATGGAGTTGAGGAGCATAGGAAAGAAGTATTTATTTACTATGCTCCTCAGCTCCATCTACTGACCATAATGAGGTATTACATGATGACATCCAAAATTACAATGGTTTATAAATAGACCCCCAAAGTGTATGTGTGAACAAAAAGCATATTAAAGGAGAACTATGGGGTTAGGGCTTTTCCCCATAGTTCTCCGAAGAGCACGGGAGGACACAGACTAGAGTCCAATGCTAGATACCCAATGCTCAGTATACCGCGAGCTGCTCGCGTTATACTGAGACGCCGCAGCTGAAACGGATCCCGACAATTATGTCTGGATCCGCCCAGCAGCGTGAGTGACAGCTGGCTCTGCCTATCTAGAGGCAGAGCCAGCTGTACCCGCCCCTCCCCGTCAGTTCCGCCAGTCAGCGCTGGAGGATCAGACAGGGGAGGGGAGAATCCAGTCACTCCCTTGTCATGGCTCTCTGCAGTGACAGGATTGAGAAGTGAGCGAGCGACCGGTATGTGTTCGCTCACTTCCCGATCTACTGAGCCGACCCGTGACAGTTTCATTGTCACAGGTCAGCTCAGATAAGAGGCTGAGTGAAAACCACTCACCTCATAATTCTCCTTTAAGTACAGCTCTACATTATGTATACATTTAAAAAATCTCAGAGCTCGGAACTTCCCGTTGGCGGACAACACTCCGCTGCTGCACTAAAATTCCAATCATCGTTGTCAGTCCTTCCTATGGTTTCCTCTGCTGGACTAGGTCAGCACATTCCCCTTTCCTCATCTCAATAACTTTCAGAACACAATCCCTATCCATGCCAGCTGCCTTCTGTATCCCTCCCTGTCCTGTTATTTCAGTATAGCAGTGGTAGTGTCCTCAGCCGAAGACCAGAATTATTATTATACAGGATTTATATGGTACCAACAGTTTGTGCAGCACTTTACAATATAAGGAAGACATTACATAGTTACATAGTATACACACATGCATACATACACACACACCCACACATACACACACAGGTCCTTGTATCAGTTAATTCTTAAGTGTACCTGTACCCATTTATGTTATGGTTTCTCAGGAAATCATCCAAAAGCTTCTTGAACAATTCCACACTCTTAGCTGAGATCACTTTTCCGGCAGCGAGTTCCAGACCCTAACCGCTTTAACTGTGCAGAACCCCCTCCGCCCATTGTGCTGGAATTTCTTTTCCACCAATTTTAGGTGGTGGCCTCTAGTCTTTGTTACAGAGTTAATTGTAAAGAGTTTGTTGCTAATGTTGCTGTCACCATTGAACAATTTGTACATGAAAATCATGTCCCCCCTTAATCTCCTTACTTCCAACATGAACATGTTTAAATTTACTAGTTGTGTCTCGTAGCTCTGGTCCTCCATTCCTCTAATTAGTTTTTGCTGCCCTCCGCTGGACTCTTTCAAGCTCAAGGACGTCCTTTCTGTGGACTGGTGACCAAAACTGGACCGCATACTCCAGATGAGGCCGAACCAGTGATCTATAAAGTGGCCCAATTATGGACTTGTCTCTGCAATAAATCCCCTTCTTAATACAGGACTCTACTTGCTTTGTTTACCGCAGCCTGGCACTGCAGGCTATTAATCAATCTGTGGTCTACAATGGCCCCCAAATCTTTTTCTATTTCTGACTTCCCTGACATTACAATCACAATACAAGATGGTAAGGAGGAGTAAGTAGAGAAATCTATCTAGGGGTATGCCAAGACCCTAGGTAGAGGGGCTTTTCGAAAAATACAGATCGCTTTCTTGTTATATATAAAAATACAAATTGATTTATTAAAGTAACATAATTATTAGTTAAAATTCCACTGAATAGAGCATAGTTATTCCATGTAGTTCATACAATACATTATCATTGAAGTAATTCATTTATGTAACACAGGTAAATGAGATCATCAAGGAAGTCCCTGATTCATTCGAGAGATAGCCCCGACATGTTTCGCCCTATTGGGCTTCTTCAGGGGGATAGGGACTATGTATCATAAAACGTTTTCGTCAAACATATATCAACGTAAAATAGTAGATGATTGATTGATTATATTATTATTATTACATAGTATTTATATAGCGCCAACAGTTTGCGCAGCGCTTTACAATATAAGGAAGACATTACAGTTACAATACAATTCAAGACAAGATGGTAAGGAGGGCCCTGCCCCTGAGGGCTTACAATCTAAAAGACAAAAGTCTTTTAGATTGGTGGTGTCAGAGTGGTGAGGTGGGTGTCAGAGAGAAGCTTAGTAACCTCCGCACCCAAGCGATGAGGACCCAGATATCGATCACAGCTGACTAATGGAGGATATGCAGCTGAAGCTTATATGTTTGTGGCCTCCAAAGCAGTCCTCCCCAGTGTCGCTTTCCTCCTCAATGGTGCGGGCGCGGCACTGGGGAGGACTGCTTTGGAGAAATCCTGGATCAGATGAGCCGAAGCTCTGGCAGCTCACTCGCTGCTGTTCGCCCCTATTCTCATTGGGGCCGAACGGCAGTGACTGAGTAGTTGAATGCCGCCGAATGGCATTCGGCTCAGCTATTGTGCTCGGTACCTCCGTGGTACAGAGCAGAATAAAAAATAAATGAAAAGAGTTTTTAAAAAAAGGGTTTAACATTTAAAAAAAAATGTAAATAAATAGTAAAATTTAAAAATAAAGATTTTTTTTAAAAAAAGAAAAGAATAAAAAAAAACAATTGGGTGGAGCTAGCAGTGACAGCTAGCTCTGCCCAACTGTTTCCTATTGGCCGGCACCTGCTAGAGCAGTGGTTCTCAACCTTTCTAGGGCCGGGACCCCTTGGTAACATTTGCCAAGTTGTGGTGACCCCCAAAGGTAAAATTTAGGGATGACGCGGCTGCTGCTGTGGCAGGAGAACTGACACTGCTGCGCTAGGAGAGCGCTGAGGAGGACTCTCACCGTGCACAGCGACCCACAGCTTGAGAACCACTGCTATAGGCAAAGACAGGACCGGGCTCTGCAGCTGGAACTAGAAGAATTGGATTTAAAGTGTGTGGCTATATAACGTATGAGGTACATACTCCGCAGTACTGTCACTGATAGGGATGGGCTCGGGCGTGTTCGCAGCTCCACGTGCCGAGCCCCAAAAATGACCCCCAAAAAATGTGTATAACCTGTCGGTTATCATAATTTTATCATTGCTCCTAGGTACTATTTGGAAGCATACTTACCCCACATCTTGAGTTACAGCTACCTTTCTTCCTTGCTGCTAAGGTCATTGACACAGCTGGTAATACCTGTTAGAAGGAATTACAAAAGTTAGAAAGTTGCATTGTATACTATAAAAACATATACTGATCACTAGAGTGGGTGATGATATTTTGAGGGATAAGGGCATACACTAAGCCATAACCAAAGGACACAACAGTTCATATTGCAGGTTAGTCACACAAGAGGGCTGAGATTTTAGGGATATTGTCTCGTCTTGGTCTTCCTGTAAAGACCATATTTGTAACATTGGCTTGCATGGACCACTTTATTTACATTGGATGTCGTTCCACAGCCATAGAGTACAGTCTACTCCACCTCAATGTCCCCTGATCCTAATGGAATAAAGTTGTATCTGGACTGGTGCTTCGCCTCCTACATCATCTGTGTTCTAAGGCCGGTCAGGGCTTGAGATTTTTTACCCCAGTTAGTTTCAGTTTAAAGAACATCCACCATATAGTTATAACCTTCATGCCATGTAAGCAAACACTATTTTCTTGTCTCTGAATCATGAACTGTTTTTGTTTTTGAGTAAACATTGTTTATGGCTAATTATCTGCTTCCTTGTTCTAGTAGTCAGTGTTTATCGGGCACATGTTATCAAAATGACTTATGCTTATGTTTAATAGAGTTAAGACATGTTTCAGTTGAAAACATTCCATTACAGTTGTATCCTTCTGTGTTGGCAAGGATACACGGTGTCTCCACGGTCATATAAAGAAAAAGCCTCCTCTGCAGCCAGTTCCAGCAATGTCTCCTCTCTACTTCCTCTTAGAGATGTCCAGTTCATGAACGAATCGTTCTTTTGAGCTGCTTCACTGAGCTGCTTCAAACGGATCAGCTCAGTCAGCTGAATCGACTCCACCAGTTCACTGAATAGAATCGATTCAAAAGAACGATTCGTTCATGAACTGGACATCTCTAAGAGGAAGTAGAGAGGAGACATTGCTGGAACTGGCTGCAGAGGAGGCTTTTTCTTTATATTACCGTGGAGACACACCGCTTGCTGGTTACTGATCGTTGAGAGACACGATGAGGACGCTGCGGCTCCGTGAATTGTCATTTAAGCGCTTCTGGCTGCTTACCACAGCCACTACATCACGGTGAGTGCACACTTTGAGGGGATACGTACGGCATTTGCCCATATCCTCAGCAAGTTCCACGGGACTTTTACATCAATTCACAAACTTTGTGCACCAGGCACACTGTATTGTTATTTCACTGTGTTTTCACACTAACTATTCCAGGGACCCTGTGGGACTTCATGTCCAGGGTAATTATGTCTTATATCATAAAAAGCACATAACACAGTCACCTAAGTTTTGTCATTTTTAATTTCACAAGTATTTATGTTATACATGAATGCATATTTGGTATAACAATTTCTGGAACAAATGCATGTTTTCTTCCAACAGATGCCAGATGCGGACGAGTACCCTTCAGCGGTTCCACCTTTTCAGCAACTTCAGTGGGACTGACTAGACACCAGTGTAACGCTATTCAACTTATAAATAATTATTTGGTCCTCACTTGCGCAATACTGCCAGCTGCCCACTGATATGTTTTTTTCTAAAACAAGTCGGGATAGATGTTCAAATGTCAACCAAGCGTGCACAATTGTGATCTCGGCAGTGAGATCTTCTTGCCTTCAGAATGCCAAATTTTACTTGTACCTGAGTTTTACAGAACATGATGATTTCTTATTCCTTATCATTTTCTGAGATTTTTTTTAATCAACAGAGTAACTGAGTTTCTCTGAAGGTTTTTATTGCTGTCTGTGTAGGGTCGAGAAGTAACGGGAGATACACCCCCTCTACTTGCCCTGGTGACCACTGTCATTGGGACAGAGCAGAAAGCAGAAAGAAATCCGATTTTCAAATATGTACCTGGAACAGAAAGTTAGGGAAAATCTTCATTTAATACCTGTTCTGGTGACAGCTGTCAAAAGTAAAATTTACCTTAATTTTAAAGTAATATCTGTTCACTTCCTGGTGTTGCTTAAAGTGGAAAAGTTCCACCTTATGTAGTCAATTTTGGAAAGGGTTTATCCATTAAATAGATCTCCAGCCAAAACCTTAGAGGTGTTTTGGGTTTCCATTGCTGTCACCATTCAGGAAATTTACTCTCACTTTCTGTCTAGGTCTTAGACATGTGCACCGGCAACAAAATTCATTTGGTTTCGCTTTGTTTTGATTTGGATTTTGCGTTACGTTTTTCGGGATTCGAGTCTGAAAGTCAATTCGTTTTGGGATTCGGACAAAATTAGTTAGCGGTAGTCTAAACTAGGGATGCACAGATACTTTTCAAGTACCAATGCAGATACTACCAGGGTTGCAGAGGTTGCGGCTGGGTCTGGGCGCTGCCACTCCACCACTGTCCTGAAATCATAAGTCTGTTTTGATTTAGAAAACATGTCACATGACAATAAACAAAAAAGTATCAGTACTCGTACTTGTAAGTACTCGGCAAGTACCAGTACTCGTACTCGCAAAACTGGTATCTGTGCATCCCGTTATTTATATTTATAAAAACAAAATCATAAATTAAAACAGAGATGTACAAATCCCAGAAGCTCCGTGTGCTCCTTACAAATGACAGCTGCCTCCTAACTTTTGCATTTTTCTCTAGTCTAGTCTTGGAGCTCAAAAGTATCGGTACATGTACTCGTACTTGTACCGAGTACTGTACTTGGTATCTGTGCGACCCTAGTCTGAACGAATGTTCGTTTTTGTTTTGTTTGTTTCGTTGCAACACAGTGACAGTAAAAAGAAATTCATTTTTTTATGCCACTTTGCTGTAACGAGAGTTCATCCACAAGTGAAAATTCGTACAGACTACTGCTAACTAATTTTGTCAGAAATTTCGTTTTCGGAAATTCGGATTCGTTTTCATTCGTCATTTCTGTTATTCTGAAATTTGGATACATCCAAATCCCCGAATAGCGAAAATTCGGAAGAAAAACAAATTTTTCCAAAACGAATCTCACATGTATACTAGACCACTGGTGTCACAAGGACAGAAAATTCTCCTTAATTCCTGTTCACAGTTGATGGTGATACCTGCTCACCTGTGACAACTCTCAGAGGTGGGGTAACTCTCAATTTTATTTCCTCTCACTCTGTGTTGTGTATTTAGGGAGTAAGTAAGGGGAAATCTCCCCAGTGTGGTCCCAGACATCATCAGATGTTCTAATCCCCCCCTTGGCTGCAACATCTAAAATTAGAAGAACAGTTTTGGCTGGTATCCACTTTGAAATAGTGTTGAAGTGGCATAAAAAAAACCTTTGCTATGTGTAGACCTCCACATTTAGTCCAGGCAGTCAGAAATAGACAAACAACACTCTAGGTGGCTAATAGTAAATAATATTCCATTTTTGAAATGAGAGCGCCAGGAAGTATAAATGGAAAGGACAATGAGGGGTTCTTTCTGAGTTGCGGCTCTCCAAAAACTTTAAAACATTTAGCTTTAGTGATGAGAGAGCTATATCCATGGGGGCCTCCAGTGGTTCCTCCAAGTATGGCTCAGTCATAGGAATGAATGGGCGCATGACAGGATGGCACATGCTGCAACACTGTTCTTGGTAAACTCCATGGACACTGTGGTTTGGCAGCTTTGATCCAAGCGACCGCATGTAAATCAGAATGAATATTGTGGAAGCGCACCAGTGCTGTGCAAAATGTGATTTTGAAGGACAAAGAGGAGAAGGGAGTAAAACCAAGCCTTATTCAGATATGTCTACCTTTTGTTGGAGGAACTGATATGTAACACTCTTTATGTTCCTGTTATTGGTGGTTTTTGTATGTTTTGCATGGACTGCCTTTCATGGAATATTTTGTCAAAATCAAGGTGATATGAAATAAACTGCATTCTACTTTAAAAAAAAAAGAAGGAATGAATGGGATGTGGTATGAAGAGCAGTAGGCCAGGATCATGTCAAAACAAAGATCACTGGGTCAAGGCTAAAGGTAAGTATTATCCTACTGCACTCAGGGGGTAGGGGGATTTATTAAGAGACAACTTTACTTCAGTTGGAGGTCCATGTTCTCTCTACTTACGGTCCCTTCTATTATCTGCATAAAAATAGTTTCTGCAATGTGAGTCTTTTTTACAGATTTATGTACATGCAAGTCTTGAGTTACATAACTGAAACCAATGGATAGGCTCCAGAGCCACTTTCATTCACTAGGCACAGATTCAGATTTCTGCTTTTGCTAGTTCTGTCATCCCAAGAAATGGCATTTATAGATAAACATATAAGTAAATGTAATACTCATGTACAGTATATTATAATTTGCTTGTTGTTGGAGAAGACATAACACTTAAGGGTTCATACATAAGCTTCAGTGCATCCACCTCTTTTGGCTTTGCCCTGCATCCCAAGTGTACAGTTCTCTCCCAGGAGAGAGAAGCTATTCAAATGAATTACAGCATCAAACACTGCCTGAATCAAACAACTGCAGTGTATAGTAATGGCGAGGTAGGAAAACAATGTTTTCCACTCTTGCTGAACAGGCCACCAATGCGGTTTCAGCAGAAGTCAAGGATATGTGTCAATCAACCTATTTAATGCCTTACTATGTGGAGCTTTGCAGACATTAATTCAATACAGATGTAAGTAAATGAAAACCTGTAACCCAACCTGCAAGCCTTTGGGAACTGGAATAGACTAATGTGCAGAGACTAAAGCAATGCTTTATAAGTATATGTTATAAGCACACTTATGGTAGGATAATACTAATAGACCACAATTCTCACAATGTAAATTAAAGATTTAAATTTACTTGGGTTAGCCCCAAACTCTCCATCATTACCCATATCTTCTAATTTCCTTTCCATCTATGCACTTTCAATCCATTCCTGACCACCCTCGACCCAAGTCTACAACTTGCCAGGAATGTGTGCAGCAAGTTAACAAGAATTACAATTTAATTTAACCCTGCCACAAGTTTGTGGCAAGTTATCCTTGCTATCTGGGAGCAGATTTAGATGGACTTGACTAAGAAATTAAAGCAGAATTCTGGCTAACACTTTTTAGGCAGTTACAGCAACAGGTTTTTTCCTTTTAGGATAAAGGTTTTACTCAATGACTACAAAAGCATATAAAAGGCTGAATCAATACTTACAAGCAAGCCTCCTCCAAACAGTCCTGGAAGCCACCACTCATAACAAGAGATGGAGCTATAAAAGAGTCTCCCATCTTCTACATAGTCTGCAATAAGTGGGGTGAGGTTCAAGGCAATAGCCAGTAAGGACAATGCCAAGAGAAAGAAACCATTAAAAGCCGACCAGTGCTCTGTGCATGTCATGTTGAGGAATTGTGAACCAAAGTTTTCTATAGACTGATCGGTAACAGTGCAGACTCCAACAACTTCACAAAGGACCAAAGTTTCATTTTACCAGAGAAGCATATCAATTATTAAATGGAATGTATGAGGCAACAAGGAAATACAAAGGTATATTATATATATATCTGTAATTGACATGAAATTAAGTAATACATTCCTACTGTGGATCTTGCTTTGCATATGTATTGTCTATTGCTGTACTTTGATCTGATCATAAGGGAATTCTGTGTTCTCCATTTTTTCCTGATTTCTTCAGAAACTGTAAACTGAACAACCTCAGGGAGGATCCTGGAGGTGCACCTTGTCCATTTCCAGAGAACCCTTTGCACCCCAAAAATCTGAGATACATTAATAAGCAAACAGTGGCCAGATCTCTCATGGTCATGCCATGTTGTGCTACTTATAGCTGTCCTTGGCTTCTCAGTAGTAACCAGGTGTGATAGTCAGCCTTACTGGCCAATAGTGAGTTAAGGTTAGTGAGATGGGACAGACAAGTGACCATAAAATATCAGATTGTTGTTTGCTTTACAGGGCCCTTGAATTTCCAGTGTACTGGAATGTTCTTATTTTAATAATCAAAGTGGGCATGGAGGTACCTGCCAGTGCTGCCTTACTGTACTGTCATTGGGGTGAGTTGGGGAAACTGGAAAGACAGCCCCATAAAAGTCTAAAGTGATTAACTGCAATAGGAACGGTCAGCGGAAAGAAGATTAAGCCAGATTAACCACAGGCTAATAGTATTGTGGCAGACTGCAGCCTTGGGATGCATGTAGGCATACAGTATATCTGGGGCAGAGAGGGTGGCTTACTTAGGTCTGGGTTTTAGGGCAGGAAGGATGTGTGAACTTACCACTTAACTGACCATGGCTCATTCTGAATGAGCCACAAATAGCAAAAGACTCTGTCACTTTACCCATTTAAGAGCAATGTCCATGTTGGAGCTCACACAGGGTTATTGATTTCCTCCACTCCGTCACATGACAGTATTCGGGCCTTGTAATTTGCCGCTTATGCCCGAGTGCATCCTGGGAGGAGATCATATGCTCTCTCCCGGAAGTATCAAAGGAGCAATGGAGCAGCAAGGAGAGCATTTAAGGTGTGTTTCAAAAGATGGGGCATTGTTCCTGAATGGGCAGAGTGATAGATTCTCTTTATGGCGCCGAAAATCAAACGAAACTAAATCAAAGGGTGCCCCTTAATCTTGCTTTTATGACTCTTGCATAATAATGATTTGCATGGTTTGGCCCATTATCCTTAACTGAGGAATGAAAATCTTGTTTTCCAGATTTTTTATTAATTTATGATGAGCAAATGCCTTGCTTTATCAAGGTAAATCTTTACTTTTCTTTACTGGTGTGGTGTGTTTATTTACTATCTTAATGTTTATTTGGTGAATGAGTAGGGGTAACAAGTACCCTTTACTCATTCACAAGGCGGAGTGGCATCTGTGTGTCCCCTTTATGAATGGAAAACAGAAAAAATGGTCACCAGCACTCCAAGTTTTCTTCAAAACAAAATCCCTTTATTCATTCTTGCAGGTCATATCACCATGCGTTTGCCACAGATGGTGATATGACCTGCAAGAATGAATAAAGGGATTTTGTTTTGAAGAAAACTTGGAGTGCTGTTGACCATTTTTTGTTTGTTTTGCGAGTATTTGGCGGCGCCATTCGCGGCCACTTCAGCACCCCCCACATTATATGGGGCTTCTCGGTCAGGAGTCCGGTGGGACTCTCTATTTCCCTTTATGAATGGGGCACCCAGATTCAGATAAGCCCCCTGCCCTGACAACCATCGTGCCAGGGTTGTGGGGAAGAGGCCCTTGACCTCATAAACAGAGGGACCCTGCACACGATTGTCCCCCCCTTTCCTGCTCTGCCATGCCGCTGCTCGGATCAAGGGTCTGGTAAGGGATTTTGGGGGAACCAATGCTTTTGACTCTGTCACTTTGCCCATTTAAGAGCAATGTCCATAATCAGGGTTATTGATTTCCTCCACTCCGTCACATGACAGTATTAGGGCTTTGCAACTGGCCGCTTATGCCAGAGTGCATCCTGGGAGGAGAACATATGCTCTCCCCTGCCCATGTTGAGGGCAAGTGGCCTGGTATGGTGCAGGGGAGAGGGGGTGCACCATTGTCCCCCCTTACCTGCTCTGCCTGCTGCTCGGATCAAGGGTCTGGTAAGGGATTTTGGGGGAACCCACGCTTTTCTTTTTTTGGCACGTGGTCCCCCCCTAAAATTCCCCACGCTGTTTTTTAACAACTTTCACATTGAACAAAATATCAATGTGTTTAGTTGTGGGCAAAATAAAGTAGTGTTTAGTTGTGGGCTTCAGGGCTTTTTGTTTCCATGGGGGCCTTCTTGGCATAGCCTAACATTATATACTGCTTCCTCACTCCTACTCAATTTAAACCATATTTTCCAAATATTTTATTCACAAGAGCTAAGACACTTGACACATGTACATTATATGTAATTTGAATAAATAGCTCTATAAAGTTTTTGATGTGACTAACTGGATATGCAACACCAAATCGTATGACTATACCTTCTAGCTGTAGATTAGGTAAAAGCCATTCATTTTTTTGGATGTTTAACGAACATGATGACAAATAAAAGGCAATGTGATGGTGTTATGTGTCGGAGCAAAGTGAGATGTTTATACTTTGCAGCGGCTCTCCGCACATAACATCCAGCTTTTTAGTGACAATTTACACACTCAGGGGTCTATTCACTAAGCTGCCGAAGGATCTAGCCGTAGCTTCGGCCGATCCTTCAGCTAGCTTTGGCCCCAGGACCCCTTCGGTTCAGTAGAACCGAAGGGGTGCTGTACGGGCTATTGACTATAGCCCTAAAGCTCCCGAACATGGCCAAGCGGCTCAGTCGAGCCGAACGCATATGCCTCGGCTCGGCTGAGCCGCAGTAAAAGCCGAAGCTGGCCGAGCGGCCGGCCATTGGCCAGCCGAGAGCCTGCTTCTGACAGCTGGGCCACTTGCAGAGAGATCAGCGTCCCTGGTTACCTGCTAACCAGGGACACTGATCTCCAAACAGCAAACCCTCCCTGGCGCTCCGGAAGTCTCCCGCTCCCGGCCGCCAAGGAAAGAAACACTGCTGTTTCCTTATTTTTTATTATTCTGACACGGAGCAGTGTCAGAATAGAAAAAATTTTTTTTGCCCTTTGGAATGCATTGCTAGATTCATAGTTACATAGTATTTGAGGTTGAATAAAGACATTAGTCCATCAAGTCCAACCTATTAGGATCTCATTCTAGGAGTACCCGTACCCCTGTATATAACAAGAAAAAGCAGTGTTTCTCTCCTGGGCGGCCGGGAGGCTCCCAGAATCATTTTCTATTTACTTTTTTTCTGTTCTGCTCGGTCCCTTCTGTTCGTCATCTATAAGAATAGCCCGAACAGCAGTGAGTAGCCTGCCGGAGGTTCGGCTCAGCCGATCCAGATGTTGGAACGGCTGAGTCGAACTCCTTCTGCACTTCGGGTCAGCCGAACATGCTCAGCATGTTCGGCCGACCCGAAGCCATGCGAAGCAAGCCGATGTACGGCTGATTTGCCATACCAGCCTGAAGTGAATAGCCGAACAGTGTTCGGCTCACTTCACTTCAGGTGGGTCATTCACTCAGCTGCCTATGGCAGCTGAGTGAATAGACCCTTCAGTGTGATGTGTAAATTATCATTTTTCCCGGAGTTCTGCTTTAAAGTCCCATATTACTCTGTACAGCTATTGTCAGTATTTATATTTCCAGGAGCCCACTTCCTTTTTTTAAATAATGCAAGTTAACTCTTTAAATACATTTTGTATACGATTTATTATCTGCAAACATTGTGTCCCAGTTTTTGTACTCTGTTACCTACTGTATTATGGAATTACTTGCTATTAGGATTGATATTCCATGTTTACCTTTTGTACATTAATAAAAATGAGAAATACATTTTTATTAAAAAAACATCCAAATGAATGTCATTGCTTTTATCACACACATCATTTTCTCTTCACAGCTTCCCCTTGGACTATTCTGTTTCCTGGTAAAATTAATGATTCCTTGAGGTACTTGACAAACCATATCTTGGGACACAGATACCTAACATGTGTCAGCAGTAGTGAACTGAAAGCAGTTTTAGACACCTATTTTTAGCAAGTACTGCCTGAAAATGTTTAAATGGCTACGTAGAACAGACATTATAAGCTGTGTAGAATAGGGGCGTTCAATAAACTGCAAAAATAAGTATGTAGATGTACTGTATGGTATGGAGTAGCCTTTCCCAACCAGGGTGCCTTCTGGCTTCCTCAGAGGTGCCTCGAAATCTTCTCACACCATCCATGGTGCAGGCAGGATGGTCATTAGCACCATGGAAACTAATTACGCTAATCCATTCAGAAAGTGATGGAAGCTCACCTCTATCAAGGCCTTCTTCACCTCCCACCCTCAGAAGATGCAGCTCCTGATGGTATGACTCTGATGTGAAGGAGGAACTGAGGGCTCGGATGTGTAAGGGGAACTGAGCACTCTGATGTGAAGGGTGGACTAATGACTCTAATGTTAACCCAGATAGCAAGTAATTGAGCTGCAAGTTTGAAAATGACTTGCTAAACTATTGCAGACTTGCCAAGCTTCACAATTTTGTTGCACAATAACAGCAAGTCTGCATTGCAAGTCTCCAGACCAGTGAGCTTGCAGAGCTCTTGCTAAGACCTGCAGAGCTCTTCCTGTAGACTTGCCAAGTAAATTTGCTACAAATTCAAAAAGTGTCAACTAGAACTTGTGCTGCAAGTGTTCTGCAAGTCTACAACTTGCCAGGAATGTGTGCAGCAAGTTAACAAGAATTACAATTTAACCCTGACACAAGTTTGTGGCAAGTTATCCTTGCTATCTGGGAAGGAGGGACTGAGGGTTCTAATGTTAAGGGGGGACTGAGGACTCTAATATGAAGGGGGGACTGAGGACTCTAATAT